TTGCTCACCTCTTCCCCTGGATTCCAGTGGTGACTGTCCTTCTGTACATGCCAATGGTCAGCAGGCTGTCTATGAAGCAGTGGTGACTGCTGGTGTGGCAGTGAGCCACCTTTGTGGTGGCAGTTGCCATGGAAGTGGCTGTCATGAACCACTCATTCTGCACTGGTATCTGTGGGTAGGAGTAGCAGGGGGTGCTGCTGCTGGCAAGGTGGCTAGCATGCTGGTGTCATCACTTGGGGGGTTGTCAGGGCAGGGCTGTGTCCTGGGGGTCAGCAAGGCAGCCAGTCACACTGGTGCCATCTGTCATGGGGCTGGCTGTTGGGGTGGGGCTCTGTCCCAGGGGCTGTTCAATCACATTTAATTCTTAGTCATCTCTGCCCTGTCCTACTCAGAAACGTATTTTTGAGTTTTCTGGATTATCTGATATGGAGTTTATATAATTTGTACCCTTGGTGACATAGACTCTAACTTTTTTATTTCATTGCTTTTGTTGAAAACTTAATTTGAAAGTAGACCTTATCTTTTGATTCACTCTAACTGTAAACTCTCGTAACGTAATCAATTTGTAGACTAAAAGAAATCATATTCACTTATAAAATGTAGGCAGCTCTTCTGTCAGAGAACCTGAGAGAGGCAGAATCTTAAGAGAGAGAGAGAGATGTTTGATGGGAATAATTAGTTTTTTCTACTGGACTCTATGATTGTCCATTAAGGAGGGAATAAAAAGAATTGGTATCCAGGAAGTTTTCTTCTACTTTCAAGGGAGACTTACTATTACTCACATATATAAAAGATTATCTTTTAAACATTTGAATTGAAATAGACTTAGATTTGCTGAGCTCAGATTATTTTTGCTTTATCTTCATCATGAGAAATGGTCATATATAGACAAGATGGGAGTGGAAAGAAAAATACAGCTGGCATTTCATAATGGATCATGGCATTTGGGCTTGTTTTACTAGGAGTCAGTAAGAACCAAGCGTGGTATAACATGACTTTGAAATTGGGCATCCTAGCACTCAGCACCAGTGTGGTAACCCCACAACAAAACAGTCTGGCAATGTTCAAGATGATTTACAACTTAAAGATTGTATGTTCTCCATGAAAAATAAAATACGTGTTATTAAGGAGGATGCTCATAAATGAATTGGATGAAAATTACTAGTAGGTTATCCACAGCTATCCTATTATTTAGTACCCCTGCAGCCTCTGTAAAAAGACTTGTTTGGAAGAATTTGTATAGCAGTGCTTTTTAAAATAAAAAAAAATTATTGAGGTAAAATCTACATAACATAAAATGAGCCATTTTAAAGTCAACAATTCAGTGGTATTTAGCAAATTCAC